AATTACATATTCATGTTAGCGTACCTTTCATTTCGTTTGGAGCTGCGAGTTGAAGGGATTCGCAAATTTCGCCTACCGGAAGCATTAGGGGGATTGCTATGGAATTGATTGTGGATTTGTACGAATAAGTCCTCAGCGCACCGCAATTCTACCCAGATGAATCCTTGCTGAGCCTGCGTCCAGTTTTACTAAATTTATAAAATATTCCGGTTAAAATGCGGTGATTTTAATTTTCCAGTGTAACCATAACTCTTCATAATTATAATATACAAATATTTATTAATATAAATACTAATTCTTATCTGCTTGAAGAAAATTTTGGTTGATTCAAGAGTGCTTATATTGACATATGATTTATTTCAAATCAGATGCTATTGAATTTACTAGTCAATTATATAAAAGTATTTGTGGAATAAATAAAATTCAAATTTATGTTAGTTGTTTTGATTGACAATCGTCTCATGAACTATGTTTTTTAATCCTCTCGTCGTTAATTCAATTTTCATTTCTCCTCCACGATGAAGCAAGTTCGCTGCCAGCATCTTCTTGTCAAACATTCCGGTTCTCGAAGGCCGTCCTCATGGAGGGAAGAGAATATATCACGCAGCAAAGATGAAGCTATTGAGCTACTTGAATGTTGGTTTTTGATATTCTAAAGTCTTCTCCCAGGCCACACATTGTAATTTCTATTATAACTATTTTAGCGTACAGGAAGCGCATCGTTGAAGGAAATGAGGATTTTGCAGAGCTAGCCAAAAGGTTTAGCGATTGCAGCTCCGCGTGCAAAGGTGGTGACTTGGGTTCGTTTGGCCCTGGCCAAATGCAAAAGCCATTCGAGGAGGCCTCTTTTGCTCTTCAAGTTGGGGAAGTTTCTTCCATTGTACATACTGATTCAGGAGTTCATATAATAAAGCGACTAAACTAGTTTGATTATTTGTCATTCATTTCAAATGAGCAGTTCAAAAAGCCCGTCTTGCTATCTTTAATTCCATCTTTGGCTGCGCATAGCCTTAAATTGTATCGCCCAACTCCAATTCAACACCAGGCTTGCACTTCATAGTTCTCAATGTTGTACCATTTTCTATCCGTCTCTTTCCTTCAGTCCTCTTATCCCCTCTTCTGGTTACTACCATTTTATGCTTGTTCATCAACAACCGTCTGATTATAGTCCGAGGCTTATGTCGTATCGAAGGCCGATCTCATTGATCAATCGACCAGTCAGTGTTTCCTTTACTATCTGTACGGTCGCTAAATGCTTGTTACCCGCGAACGAGGCCTTTAATGCAATGCAATAAGCATTCATCTACAATCGATCAGGCTTCGGGTTTATGGGGCAGCGAGTCTTGCGAATTCTTGAGCTAGGCTATCGGTATCTTTCAATGTTTGTTCGGGACTTATGTGCCTCTGCTTAGCCTAAGATACGACTCGTGATGAGCTAGCTTCTGGTTGCTTCTGTATAGAATCTGGAGTTAACGATAGTCATCACCTCGGGATTGCGCTAGGGAATGTACCAAGTCCATGGTCGGCGGTGGAAACCATCCTCAATGACAGGCCGTGTCCTCGCGCCACGTTGGTCCTTGTCTAGCTTCCCTCGCTTATGATGTCTCGGACACGAGATCTACGATCTAGGTCAGTTCGGAAGAGCCTGGTTCCTTTTGAAAGTAGCTTTTGCTTTGCGGCCTGCTGGTAACTGCGCTTGTGTTTAACTGTTTTATGCACACTAGCTTGGGAGATCCGGGCGAGGTTGACCCGGTGGTCAATTCTGAATGAGCTCGTCTTTCGACTAACGTCGGGTGAAATTTGTTGTTGGGGTTCCCATGCAACAGCTATAGTAGTCTAGGAGAGCAAATTTTGCACTGATGGCTTCGAAACTTATCTGTAGCGACTCAATTTTTGGTCTGCAACTGGGAATGCCCAAGTTGCAGAGAATTTTGCCCTATTATTTATTAGTAAACTTCATATTCCTGGGGCTTTAAATCAAATGGGCTTATTGAATATCTGGAAGCCACAGTCAACCACGGAGATGCGTAACGTCACACGTTCACCAACAACCAGGCTATGGCGGAAAGGGCGCGAGGTTGTTCCAGATATTAAGTAAAAGGTATCACAATGATTTTCTTCGCTCCAAAGCTTTAACTCGGCCTCTTCTAGCAACCTAAATTCCATTGGCCTCTGCATCCTCTGGGGTGCTTGAGGAGCATTCTTTCAACATTGGACTATTATGCTAGCAAGTATAATCTTCTCATCGAACATATGAATTAAAGTTTGGTTCCTTCGCATCATTTCGTAATTTAGCATGTCTTGTTCTCCCAAATGGCCTGCCCCGGAGGCGGTCGCGACTATGACGGTACAGATAGGGCGTCAGCCATGTATCTCATTGGTCAATTGAGCAGTGATTGTTTCTCCACAAGGGTAAAAGAATATGCTGGACGCTAATATTGAGTGGGTAAATTCAAAGGAGCGAATGATCAAAAGCATGATACGTAAGGACATGGTTTAGCTTTTGCGCTTTGATGCGCGACCACTTATTAATATTTTAGGAAGTGTTCCACTTAACCTAGGTGCCATAAAATGACGAAAAACTAATATTCTCACGATGATACTAATGGGTTCAGCTTTGCATAAAGTTGCATCTTGCTTTGACTCCCAAAAGGTATTCTCATTGAGTCTGGACTGAAGCTTTTCCTCCCTTGTCAGCACTATCGATAGAAATCTGACCCGGACAGTGCAGTATATAATTTACCCATGTCATTGAGGCTATCAATCTTTCGTCACATGCGATCTAGATTGAATACAGCTCTTATTCAAGATATACCCAATTTCGTAACCTATTC